GACACGCTGGAACGTACCCAGAGGAAGGCGATTAAAATGATCAAGGGTCTGGAGAACAAGCCCTATGAGGAGGGGTTTAAAGAGCTGAGCATGTTTATCCTACAGAAGAGAAGGCTGAGATGAGTGAAGGCCATGTATAAATATGTGAGGGGAAGTCATAGGGAAAAGGAAGCAGGCTTGTTTTCTGCTGCTCTGGAGACTAGGACACAATGAAGCCATGGCTTTAAGCTGTTGTTGTTCATTCGTTCAGTCGTCTCCGACTCTTCGTGACCTCATGGACCAGCCCACGCCAGAGCTCCCTGTCGGCTGTTACCACCCCCAGCTCCCTCAAGGTCAGTCCAGTCACTTCAAGGATGCCATCCATCCATCTTGCCCTTGGTCGGCCCCTCTTCCTTTTGCCTTCCACTTTCCCCAGCATAATTGTCTTCTCTAGGCTTTCCTTTCTCCTCATGATGTGGCCAAAGTACTTCAACTTTGTCTCTAGTATCTTTCCCTCCAGTGAAAGATACTTTCCTGTAGCTTTAAGCTACAGGAAAGGAAATTCCACCTGAACATTAGGAAGAACTTTCTGACTGTGAAAGCTGTTCAGCAGTGGAACTCTCTGTCCCAGATTGTGCTGGAGGCGCCTTCTTTGGAGGCTTTTAAACAGAGGCTGGATAGCCATCAGTCAGAGGTGCTTGGAATGGGATTTTCCTGCTTCTTGGCAGAATGGGGTTGGACTGGATGGCCCACAAGGTCTCTTCCAACTCTAAGAGTCTATGATTTAAAAGTTAGCTGTGTTTTGTCTATATTATCACAAAACAAAGAAAGAAGCAAGAGAACTATGATTCTATGACTGATGTTAAAAAAAACTGGTTTCATCATGGTTTCAATGGACCGCAGCCCTCTCTTTAAACTGAAGGTACATCTATACTGTTTAATTCTTGCAGTTCGACCCCACTTTTAACTGCCAGGTGTAATGCAAAATTGGTAAACCCTAATCATAGAATCATAGAATCAAAGAGTTGGAAGAGACCTCATGGGCCATCCCATTCTGCCAAGAAGCAGGAATATTGCATTCAAATCACCCCTGACAGATGGCCATCCAGCCTCTGTTTAAAAGCTTCCAAAGAAGGAGCCTCCACCACACTCCAGGGCAGAGAGTTCCACTGCTGAACGGCTCTCACAGTCAGGAAGTTCTTCCTCATGTTCAGATGGAATCTCCTCTCTTGTAGTTTGAAGCCATTGTTCCGCGTCCTAGTCTCCAGGGAAGCAGAAAACAAGCTTGCTCCCTCCTCCCTGTGGCTTCCTCTCACATATTTATACATGGCTATCATATTGCCTCTCAGCCTTCTCTTCTTCAGGCTAAACATGCCCAGCTCCTTAAGCCGCTCCTCATAGGGCTTGTTCTCCAGACCCTTGACCATTTTAGTCGCCCTCCTCTGGACACATTCCAGCTTGTCAATATCTCTCTTGAATTGTGGTGCCCAGAATTGGACACAATATTCCAGGTGTGGTCTAACCAAAGCAGAATAGAGGGGTAGCATTACTTCCCTGGACCTAGACACTAGGCTCCTATTGATGCAGGCCAAAATCCCATTGGCTTTTTTTGCCGCCACATCACATTGTTGGCTCATGTTTAACTTGTTGTCCACGAGGACTCCAAGATCTTTTTCACACGTACTGCTCTCGAGCCAGGCATCGTCCCCCATTCTATATCTTTGCATTTCGTTTTTCCTGCCAAAATGGAGTATCTTGCATTTGTCACCGTTGAACTTCATTTTGTTAGTTTTGGCCAATCATCTCTCTAATCTGTCTCTCTAATAGTTCACCAAAGTGTCAGTATTCTCTGGCATAACTACAACTCCCAGGATTCCATAGGATTGAGACACGGGCAGTTAAAGTGGGGTCAAACTGTTTTAAGTCTACAATGCAGATGGACGTTAATTGCTGGAGAATGATATTTATGCCCCAGGTGCCTTGGTATCTCGGTTAATGTTATCTCAAGCAGCAGACTTCTGACATCTTCAGGATGATAGGAACCATAGTCTTAACACACTGAAGGACCTTTAAATACCTTGAAAAATCATTGTTATTATTATATTTATTTATATCCCGCCTTATCTCTCTCTAAGAAGACTCATAGTGGCTTAACAAAACATGAGCATACAATTTAAAATACACAAATTTGCAAACCGTAGTTATCTTTAGGTCAGAGCTTTCCAAGCATTTCATGATGGTGACATACTTTTTAGATGTGCGTCATTTCGCGACACCATTCTTATGGCGAATCGAAGGTTGAACCAGCCCCTTACAAGAGATACAGACGCATATGTAAATTGTGATAACAAAACATATGGTTGCACAACATTTCTCATGAAAACCTTTCATTTACATTTTGAGGAATATATGACTCATTGCTTATTTCACACCGATGCAGATGGTTTCTCGTTACGTTTGTGTGACACACCTCCACGCCGCAACAAGTACATGAATGTGTTGCGACACGCTGTTTGGAAAGTTTTTCAAGCACATCTCTATGACAGAATTTGACAATAGTGAAACCAGCAAATGTGGGCGGCTGACTGTTTTGGGACACCCTTTTGTGTATATTTACGTGTGTGCATGTTTACACTTGAGGAATTTGTCTTCGTTCCTTCATAACTGTCAAAACGGTGGCCTCTTTAGTATTTTTAGTTATTTTGTGCAGTTCTTTGTGTTGGATTAATGTGTGCAGCTGGCCATTGAAGGGGTGTCATAAAATAAGTGAGTCTGAAAAATGTGCCTGAAATTCCCAGAAAGAAGAGGAGTAGGAAAAGGGGGGCAGCCCCGTGTCCCTCCGTTCCTGGCACCGCTCTTCTCCATCACATTTCAATGAGTTCATTTTCTTCCTATCAGCTTTCCCCACTGTCCAACTTTCAAAAAAACACGACACAGAAATAAGAACTATGGTGTGATACACAATATCGACCTTGGTATTACACTTGCATTTACCTTTTGGAGTTTCCATACTAAAATCTGCGGGTGATCGAGTCCCATGATACACATTATATACAACGGTGTAGTAAAATACTGTGTCTTCTATAAAACGTGTAAGAAGTAGGGGAGTCAGTGTAAAAATTTGTGTGTGTAGGAGTAAGGGCGTGTGGGAATGTGTAAGACTAAGCACATGTGTGAAAATGTGTGTCTAAGAGGCAGGGAATGTGAAAATATGTGTGTGTGTGCAAGAGGGAAGAGCATGTAGGAATGTGTAAGATGAAGTGCATGTGTGAAACTGTAAGTGGCAGGTAGTGAAAATACGTGTGAGTGTACAAGAGGGAAGAGTGTGTGGGAACGTGTAAGACTAAGCACATGTGTGAGAATGTGTGTGTAAGAGGCAGGGAGTGTGAAAATATGCGTGAGTGTGCAAGAGGGAAGAGCATGTGGGAATGTGTAAGATGAAGTGCATGTGTGGAACTGTAAGTGGCAGGTAGTGAAAATACGTGTGAGTGTACAAGAGGAAAGGGTGTGTGGGAACGTGTAAGACTAAGCACATGTGTGAAAATGCGTGTGTATGAGGCAGGGGAGTCTGTGTGAAAATATGTGTGTGCAAGAGTAAGGGCGGGTGGGAACGTGTAAGACTAAGCGCATGTGTGAAAATGCATGTGTATGAAGAAGGGGAGTCAGTGTGAAAATATGTGTGTGCAAGAGTAAGAGTGTGTGGGAACCTGTAATACTAAGCATGTGTGAAAATGTGTGTGTAAGAGGCAGGGAGTGTGAAAATGTGTGTGAGAGTGCAAGAGGGAAGGACGTGTGTGTATGTGTAGGATTAAGTGCATGTGTGAAAATGTGTAAGAGGCATGGAGTGAAAATACATGTGAATGTACAAGAGGGAAGGACGTGTGTGTATGTGCAAGATTAAGTGCATGTGTGAAAATGTGTAAGAGGCATGGAGTGAAAATACATGTGAATGTACAAGAGGGAAGGGTGTGTGGGTATGTGTAAGATTAAGTGCATGTGTAAAAATGTGTAAGAGGTATGGAGTGAAAATACATGTGAGTGTACAAGAGGGAAAGGTGTGTGGGAACATGTAAGACTAAGCGCATGTGTGAAAATGTATAAGAGGCAGGGAGTATGAAAAGACCTGTGAGTGTACAAGAGGGAAAGGCATATGGGAATGTGTAAGACTAAGTGTATGTGTGAAAATGCATGTGTATGAGGCAGGGGAGTCTGTGTGAAAATATGTGTGTGCAAGAGGAATCATAGAATCAAAGAATCAAAGAGTTGGAAGAGACCTCATGGGCCATCCAGTCCAACCCCCTGCCAAGAAGCAGGAATATTGCGTTCAAATCACCCTGACAGATGGCCATCCAGCCTCTGTTTAAAAGCTTCCAAAGAAGGAGCCTCCACCACACTCCGGGGCAGAGAGTTCCACTGCTGAACAGCTCTCACAGTCAGGAAGTTTCTTCCTCATGTTCAGATGGAATTTCTGTTCTTGTAGTTTGAAGCCATTGTTCCGCATCCTAGTCTCCAAGGAAGCAGAAAACAAGCTTGCTCCCTCCTCCCTGTGGCTTCGCCTCACATATTTATACATGGCTATCATATCTCCTCTCAGCCTTCTCTTCTTCAGGCTAAACATGTCCAGCTCCTTAAGCCGCTCCTCAATTCACTTAGATCATGACCTTGATCTGAAACAACATTGTTTTATTACCTAGCGGAGGCTGGGATAATGTAACCTGTATATTCCAAACTAAACCTCCATTGACTCTACAGCAGGCATGGGCAAACTTTGGCTCTCCAGGTATTTTGGACTCGACTCCCACAATTCCTAACAGCCTACCTGGCTGTTAGGAATTGTGGGAGTTGTAGTCCAAAACGCCTGGAGGGCCCAAGTTGGCTGTACAGTGAGGGAAGAGAGGGAGAACGCGCTTGTGCGCATGCGCGACCCCTTCCCTTGCTGAAGCCCCCTCGGAGAACCTCTGAGGCGGGAAGCAGAGAGGGCGGGCCGGGCGCAGGCTCCACCCCAGGCCGGGGATTGGCGGGCGGGCCTAGGCCGCGGCTCCTCCCCGCCCAGTTGCGGACGGAGACCGAGGCAGGAGGAGGAAGGAGAAGAGGCAGCAAAGGCAGCACTCGCTCCGGAGGCCCCGCGCTCGGACCCCAGGTAGGAAGGCAGGCCGCTCTGAGGGGGAGAAGCGCGAGGCTCCCGCTCCAGCTGTCACCGGGGTTCCAAAAGGGCGGCGAGGGCAGGGAGGCCCCGGCTGGGAAATCCCGGAGGGCCCCCCTGGGTTGGCGGGCAAAGGGGCCTCGAATCGCCACAACTGTGCCGTGTAGGCGCCTTCCTCATCCTTTGGGGGGTTGCCTGCTATTACTATGATAATATAATATTGTTATTGTAACGTTTTGTTATTGTTACATTTATTATCTTAATAATATATTTATTAATATCTTTATTATGTTGTTATAATGTTTTGTTATTATCATTTTTATTATGTTTATTATTATGTTGTTATAATGGTTTTATTTTCATTTTAATTATTATCTTTATAATGTTATTGCAACGTTTTGATAATATTATAATATCTTTATAACATTTCTATAACGTTTTATTATTATTGCCTTTATTATTATTATCTTTCTTGTTAATGTTATATTTATTGATATTTTTATTATCTTTATTTTTATGTTATTATTTTTATTATTATCATTTTTTATTATTATCTTTATAATGTTACTATAACGTTTTATTGTTGCCTTTATTATTATTATCTTTCTTATTAATAATATATTTATTGATTTTTTATTATTATTTTTATTATGTTATTTTTTATTATCAATTTTATTATTATCTTTTTAATGTTATTATAACATTTTATTATTGGTACCTTTATTATTATAGTTATCTTTCTTAATATATTTATTAATATATTATCTATATTGTTATGTTATTATCATTTTATTATAATTTTATTATCTTTATAATGTTATAATGTATTATTACCTTATTATTATTTTTATAATTAAAATAATATAATAATATTATATTTATTAATATATTATTATCTATATTGTTATGTTAATTCGCAGCTTGGGTGTGATCCTGGTTCGCAGCTTGGGTGTGATCCTGGATTCATCGCTGAGCCTGGAGCCCCAGGTCTCGGCGGTGGCCAGGGGAGCATTTGCACAGCTCCGGCTCGTGCGCCAGCTGCGCCCGTACCTCGGGAAGTCTGACTTGGCCACGGTAGTCCATGCTCTGGTCACATCCCGTATAGATTACTGCAACGCGCTTTACGTGGGGCTGCCCTTGAAGACTGCCCGGAAGCTTCAGATGGTCCAGCGCTCGGCAGCCAGGTTGCTAACAGGAGCGGCACTCAGGGAGCATACCACTCCTCTGTTGAGCCAGCTCCACTGGCTGCCAATCTGCTACCGGGCACAATTCAAGGTGCTGGCGTTAGCCTACAAAGCCCTAAACGGTTCCGGCCCCACTTACCTCTCCGAACGCATCTCCACCTATGAACCGACGCGGACACTAAGATCTTCCGGGGAGGCCCTGCTCTCGGTCCCGCCTGCATCACAGGCACGGTTGGCGGGGACGAGAGACAGGGCCTTCTCGGTGGTGGCCCCTCGGCTATGGAATGCCCTACCCATTGACATCAGACAGGCCCCTTCGCTGCTGGCGTTTCGAAAGAAGGTTAAAACCTGGCTCTTTGAGCAAGCGTTTGGCTAATCAGCGCAATCGAACATAGGATGACGGTAAATTGAACATAGGAATGGCACAAGGATTATGAGACTGGATTTTGCTTTGTGATCGAGGCATTATGAATGATTAATTGTGTATTTTGTTATTGTGTATGATGTGTTTTAATTGTTATTGTTGTGTTAATTTACATTGTGTAAACCGCATTGAGTCGCCTAATTAGGTTGAGAAACGCGGTATAGAAATAAAGCAAATAAATAAATAATAAATTATTATAATTTTATTATCTTTATAATGTTATAATGTATTATTACCTTATTATTATTTTTATAATTAAAATAATATAATAATATTATATTGATTAACATATTATTATCTATATTGTTATGTTATTATCATTTTATTGTCTTTATAATGTTATAATGTATTATTATTACCTTTTTATAATTATCTTTATAATTAACAATAATATTGTATTTATTAATATCTTTCTCATTGTTATCTTTATTATGTTACAATGTTTTTATTATTATCATTTTATTATTATCCTTATAACGTTACTATAAGGTTTTTTTATTGTTCCCTTTTTATTATTTTCTTTCTTATTAATAACATTGTATTTATTAATATCTTTCTCATTGTTATCTTTATCATGTTATAATGTTTTTATTATTATCATTTTATTATTATCTTTATATAATTTTATTATTATTTTTATAATAAAATGATAATAAAAACATTATAACATGATAAAGATAACAGTGAGAAAGATATTAATAAATACAATATTATTAGGTTCCTGTGGGTTTTTTCGGGCTGTATGGCCATGTTCTAGAGGCATTTCTCCTGACGTTTCGCCTGCATCTATGGCAAGCATCCTCAGAGGTAGTGAGGATGCTTGCCATAGATGCAGGCGAAATGTCAGGAGAAATGCCTCTAGAACATGGCCATACAGCCCAAAAAAACCCACAAGAACCTAGTGATTCCAGCCATGAAAGCCTTCCACAATACAATATTATTGTTAATTATAAAGATAATAATAAAAAGTTAATAATAATAATAATACATTATAATAACATTATAAAAATAATAAAAATGATAATAAAACATAACATAATAAAGATATTAATGAATATATTATTAATAATAAGAAAGATAATAATAGTAAGATAATGTTACTATAAAGTTTTATTATTGTTGCCTTTATTATTATTATTATCTTTCTTATTATTAATAATATATTTATTAATATGTTTATTATATTTATTATGTTATGTTTTATTATCAATTTTATTATTATCTTTATTTTAACGTTTTATTATTGGAACCTTTATTAATATAGTTATCTTTCTTAAAAAATTATTTATTAATATAGTATTATCTATATTTTATTATTATGTTTATTATTGATTGCTTTAGATCTACTGCATCTATTTAATTGCTTACCTTTTTGTGCTTGTTATTATAAGTTTGTATTGATGCATTTTTGTTTACAGTTTTGATTTGGTTGGTTTTCTTTGTATTGTTTGTTATGGCATTGACTGTTTACCATCTTTTGTTGGAAACTGCCCAAGTCCCTCCCCTGTTATAAATAATAACAACAATAATGTTGTTATTATTGTTGTTGTTATTATGTCATTATTATGTCATGGGGGGGGCTGATGCAAGGGCCCCCTGGTGGCACAGCGGGTTAAACCACTGAGCTACTGAACTTGCTGACTAAAAGGTTGGCGGTTTGAATCCAGGGAGCTGGGTGAGCTCCCACTGTTAGGCCCAGCTTCTGCCAACCTAGCTGTTCGAAAACAGGCAAATGTGATTAGATTAATAAGTATCACTTGTGCAGGAAGGTAACAGTGCTCCATGCAGTCATGCTGGCCACATGACCTTGGAGGTGTCTATGGACAATGCCGGCTCTTCGGCTTAGAAATAGAGATGAGCACCTTACCACGAGTCAGACACAGCTAGACTTAATATCAGGGGAAACCTTTACCTTATCGTGCTATTATTATTAACTTTATTATTATTATCTTTATCATTACCGTATATTTTTACTATCTTTATTATGTTTTTAATTATTATCATTATTATTGTCTTTACTATTATGTATCATTATGTTTTTATTATTATCATCTTTAGTATTATCTTCAATATTATCTTTATTACATTTCAGTATGTTTATTATTATTTAATATTATTTACAAAAGAGACTCAAAGCAGTTTACAGTAAAACCAACTGACGTACAATTTAAAAACCTTAAACATACAAACATTAAAATAGAATTAAATATTAATATTTTTGGAAGGAATACATCTTAGTGCAGGAGGTCTATGCTTTCTTATTATTTAAAGGCTTTAAGAATAACAAGAGCTACAGAAATATCTTAAGCCCCTTCCACACAGCTGTATAAAATTAACATTAACATCTGTGTGGACTCAGAAAATCCAGTTCAAAGCAGATATTGTGGATTATCTGCCTTGATATTCTAAGTTATAAGGCTGTGTGGAAGGGCATGGCAAGTTTGGTCAAGATCCATTATTGTTTGGGTTCATAGTGCGCTCTGGATGTAGGTGATCGACAACTTCTATAGATCTCTCCAAAGACCTCCACAATTTTTTGTTGGTCATGGGGGTTTTGTGTGCCAATTTCTTGCAGTTTCTCTAGTCGCTCCTGACATGACAAAAAAAAAAAAAACTTGGGATGTGTAGGGTTTGTGTGTGCATCTGAATCCCATCTATGTAGTACCTGAGGGTTTATAGGGGTTTTATTTTTCTCTTGCAGAATAACTTGTAGGTTTGTGGTGTCAAAGGTTTGTGTGGGTGTATGTGAATCATCTGTGTAGTATTTGGGGAGTAAGCTGTGGGTTTGAGATACGGAGGGTTATGTGATATTTGGGATTTTGTAGTGTGGGTAGCTGTGAGTTTGGGATGTGGAAAGTATATGTGTCATTTATGCAGCATTTGGGGTTTTGTAGAGGGTTTTCCCTTCTTTGGTATGGGGTGGGTACAGAGCAGGTTGTGGGTTTGTGTGTGTGAGCCTCATCTCTGCAGCATTTGGAGTTGTAGGGCTGTTTTATGGAGGAGGTGGGGAGTAAGCTATAGGTTTAGTGTGTAGTTTGTGTATAGGTCTCATTTGGGATTTTGGAGGGTTGTTTACTTTTGGATATGGGGTAACTGGGGAGTAGATAATGGGTTTGAAGTGTAGAATATGTGTGTATATTCAGTTTTTTGAGGTTTTGTAGTGTTTTTCTCTCTTGTGAATGGGATAGGCGGGGAAGAGGCTGTGGCTTTGGGATGTGGAGGTTGTGTGTGTGTCTCATCTATGTAGCATTGCTTTTGTTGACTTATGGCAACCCCATTCATGTTACACTGTGGTTTTAGTCCATTCCTCTTTCTGAAATACGTCCTACAGCACCAGGTATTTGTTGGCGGTCTCCCATCAAGGACTAACCAGGGTCACCCTACATAGC